TCAGGTTTCTTTCTTTCTTTCTTTCTTTCTTTCTTTCTTTCTTTCTTTCTTTCTTTCTTTCTTTCTTTCTTTCTTTCTTTCTTTCATTTCTTTTGAACTGTGGAGTTCCTCTAGGCAAGAGAGGCCACTGTGAGGCCATTCAAGGTCCCTTTATTTTATTTTTAAAAATTATATTTTATTATTTTTATGTTTATGAGTGTATTGCCTGCATGTAAGTGCACCCGTGTGGTGCAATGCCTGTGGTAGGACAGAAGAGGCCATTGAATCCCCTGGAACTGGAGTTACAGACAGTTGTCAGCTGCCATGTGGGTGCTGGGATTTGAACCCGGGTCTTCTGCAAGAACAACCAGTGTTTTTAACTGCCGAGCCATCTCTCCAGTTCCCCTCCTCCCCAAAGTCCCTTTCTTATACAATACAGGACCACTTGACCAGGGGTGGCACTACCTGGCCTGGGTCTTCCCACATCACTCAACGATCAAGAAAATGCCTGGCAGACATGGCCACAGGCCAGTCCAATGGAGACAGTTCCTCAAATACAGTTCCCTCTACCCAGGTGTGTCAAGTTGGCAACTAAAGCTATATAGCACACTAGGCAAATATCAAGTCATCCTCTTTCCAAGACACAATTGTAAGACCAGATCATGCAGGGCCTCAGGTCTGAGAAAGGTGTCTGACGTTGTTCTGAAGGCAATGGCAGGAACTGGAAGGCTTTAAGCTATGCAAAGAGCTCCTTAGTCTCGTGTTTTGATATTATCACCTCTGGCTTGCAGGTGGAGCATGGATGCAATGGGCCTGAGCGGAAAGTTGGAAAACTGAGTTCCTCGAGCTCAGGAGGAAAGCTGATGGCACAGTGTAGGGGTGGATGGTGAGCAGGAATGCAGAGAAGGGCAAAGTTGCATATTTAAGTGCTAGGGATGCCGGGTCTGGGTGACAGCTGGACTCCGGCCATGAAGGAAGGTAGGAGCTTGTGGTTGTCTCTGTGGCTGGATGCCTGCAGCTTCCCTGTATGGCGGAGACGAAGGCCTGGAGTGTGATGTCCCTTGCGCGCCACCGTCCGCGCAGACCGCCAGTCGGTGGGGAGCTGGCGTGAGCACCGCGGTTCCGGTTCCGGTTCCGGTTGCGACCCCTGCCGGTTCCCGCGGCCTGGCTAACCGCGGCCGGCGGTGAGCCGCCATGGCGTACTCCACGGTGCAGAGGGTGGCGCTGGCCTCGGGGCTCGTTCTGGCCGTGTCGCTGCTGCTGCCCAAGCCCTTTCTGTCACCCGGGAAGCGGCCGGAGCCGTCGCCGGGCCCTGAAGGTGAGCGGGCCGGGGAGGCGCTGGCGGGCGGGGGTTGGTTCCGGCCTCCCGGGCTGGCTCGGCTTACCCTGGCCCTCGTGCCTGCCGGAGCTTTGAGTCGTAGGATTTCCCTCCTCGGGTTCCGTAGGCTTTCCGTCTTGCGTTTGTGTGAAATAAAATCTCCCCTTTTAAAGTGAAACAGCATCCCCGAGGCAGAGACAGGAGGGTTGCCGCAAGTTCAAAGCCAGCCTGGTCTACACAGCGATTTCCAGGCCAGCCAGGGCTACGTAGTGAGACCCCGTCTCAAAACAACAACGTGAAGATTTTGTTTAATAAGTTGAGTTTCCGTTCCTGAGGTGATGAACAAAACACTGCATTCCCTGTGCTTAAAGATATGTCAGTTAATTCCCGGTTATTGGCATGAGTATGATATTTCAAAATCAGGGTTTTTTCGACGACTTTCAGGAGATTTTCAGAGTCAATGTAAAGGCATGACACGACTCTTGGGAAAAGTTACCAGAACAATTCGCTGCTGTGCGGAAAGTTCTGTAAATTATCCCTTGTAACATCTTTCAGACATGGTTTTACAGTCTGTGAACATTTCCTCTGATTTCAGCAGGTTGGGCGCTGGACAGCTCCTTTTGAACGCTAGCTTTGAATTTGTGCATATTGGCTGTCTTTCTGTGCTCCGGAGAATCATAGACTGAAAATACTATAAATGCAAAGCGCCGTGCTCTAGGGGCTGAGGAAGGATGAACACATTATTCTGCCCACAGAGTTTGTTTGTGAATTGTAAGACTCGCTGCCTTTGCCCTTCTATCATTGTAAAATCCAAAACGTTTTACTCACTTTTCAAAGTGTTGACTGCTTTGAAGAAGAGTTAAATCCGTGATGAGCCAGAATAGTGACTATTTTTTAAAAAGTTTTTTGTCTTTTTTTTTTTTTTAACAGAGTTGAGATGTCTTGAACAAGTACTATTGAATGTGAGCAGAAGGCATGTCTGAATGTTATAGGGGGTAGAGCACAGGTTAGAAGCTGTGGCTCCTTCCTGTGAGAACCTATGTGCTGACGTTCAGTGGTCTCATCTTAAGATCTTTGTCCTTTCTGTTTGCTTTATTCCTGAAGTGCTGTTCTTTCAGCTTCCTTCTCATTATTCAAGTTTCTGCTCAGATGCAACCTCTGAGACTTTGCCTGATGACCCCCTGTTAAAATAAAGCTTCCTATATGATAGTTTTTAAAGTGGTTCTAACTGATAGTCTTGATTTATCCTATCACACGTTTTACACAGTGTGCAGACATCAAATTCCAAGAAACAAGAATTCAACCTCTACCTCGAGGAACTCGTGGTTTGGTAGAGGAAAATAGATATGTTAACAGGTAAGTGCTAAAGTGTCAGTTGCAGGGCAAAAGTCAGTTTTATTAGGGCTTAACAGGTTTCACAGAGGAATTGTTTTTCTTTTTCTCGAGATCTAATTGACAAACCGTGCAGTTTCTCTGTTTAAGCACATGAAACAGTAGCTTTTCACATTCACAGTTGTGCAGCCATCACCGTAATCAGTTTTAGGACATTTCATCCTCACTGGTAGATACTCTGCACCTCTTAGCTGTTACCCTTGTATTTGTTACTTTTCTGCTGCTGTGATAAAACATCATGACCAAAGCAATTTATGGAAGGAAGAGTTTACTGGGGCTGTGAGGTCTTGAAGCCCGTCCCAAGTGATGTTCTTCCTCCAGCAAGGCCGCACGTCCTCAACCTCCTAAAATAGCACACAACATCCGACCAAGTGTTCAAATACTTGGAGCCTATGGAGGACACTTATTGAAGCCATCATCACCCTCTATATCCATCCTGAGCCCTGGTCAACCACTCATCTTTCTGCCTCTCTAGCTGTGCTCTTCTCACTTCTTTAACCTAGAGTAGTGTTTCAAGGGTCATCCATCTTCTAGCATGTGTCTGTACTTCATTCCTTTTAATGGCTGAATAATACTTCATTGTGTGGAAATATCATATATTCCTCACCTGCTTATAAGTTGATGGACATTTGGGATTTAAAAAATTTTTTTAATCTATCAGCTCCTAGGAATAATTCTGCTTTTAATGCTTGTTTATTGATTCTTGTGTAGATTTATATTTGTGATTGGAACTAAGTGTGGAATTTCCTGGTCATATGGTTACATTTTCCTTTCTGAGAAACCACCAGACAAAGCAGCTTCAGTGTTTCCATCCCCACCAGCAGTACACAAAGGTTCTGATTCCCTACATCTTGCTCACTGCTGCGAAGTGAGGCTGTGAAGACTGCAGTTGTCATGGGTCATAACCATATGATGGCCCCTGTGTAACCCTAGTCAGTTTCTTGGCCTAGTTTCCAGGCAGGACCGTTAGAGTGGCAAGCAGGGCTTTATGAGCAGAGGCTGGGGCTGTCCGGAATATGCCTGTAGTCTTTGACATTAGCTTGGAAATGAACCAGGTCTTCCTGGTGTGGGATGAATCACTGTCTGAATCACTCTGTAAGTCACTTTTTCTGATCCAGATCATGGAGAGTCACTGGCCTTTCTGCTGCCCTTGACCACACTTCTGTCATGAAGTCCCAAATAAATGGCACTGCCGTCCTGGATCTGTCTGCCTCTCTTCGGTCTCTTTGATTCTAGGTGTCCTAATGAGTCTGATGTGGTGTCTCACTGGTTTTATTTGTATCTTTCTGATGACTAATGACATTCAGCATCTTTTTGTTTACTTGCTTTTTGCACATTATCTTTAGAAAAACATCTACTCAGGTCCTTTGTTTTTTAAAAATGGGACACTTGTTATTTTACTGTTGAGCTGGGCATATTTATTATCTACTCCTGATGCTAGCCCATACTTTCTCCCATTCAGTGAGTTGTGTTCACTTTCCTTAGTGTGCTCTTTGAAGAGGAAAGTTTCAAATTTTGATGCATTTCAGGTTTTTTTTCTTTTGTTGCTTTTAGTGTCAACTATATCTAAGACGAATCCTTGTCTTAACTGAAGATGTATGCCTGTGTTTTCAACTCCTATAGTTTGTTTCTTTATTTTTTAATTATTTACTTTTTGGTCTTTTTGAGACAGGATCTCCCTGAAGCCCCAGCTGGCCTGAAACTCGCTATGTAGACCAGGCTGGCCTTGAACTCATGGAGATCCACCTGCCCCTGCCTCCCTGAGTGCTGGGATTAAAGGTTGTGTACCACCACGCCCGGCTCTTTATTTTTAGATTGTTCCTTGCTAGCATAGAGCGTGATGTTTATATCTTGATACTACATTTCGCCATTTGCTGCACTTGTTTATTTGCTTTTTGTCATAATCATGTCTTCAAATAGAGAGAGTTTTACTTCTTTCTATTCTACAGCTTTTGGTTTTTTTTTTGCTTAACTGGACCAGCTAGAATCTCTAGTACTAGTGCAGGAGAGAAGTGATAAAAGACAGGATCCTGTCTTGTTTTTGATCTTAAGAAGAAAGCTGTTGTACCCTTAAGTATGGAGGGGGAGGGAGGGAGGGAGGGAGAGAGAGAGAGAGAGAGAGACACAGAGACAGAGAGAGACAGAGAGAGACACAGAGAGAGAGAGAGGAGTACAAACTGGGTATGGTAGTGTACACTTGAGATCAGAGCACTAAGGCAGGAAGATTACAAGTTGGGGGCCAGCCTAGAGAGAGAGAGAGAGAGAGAGAGAGAGAGAGAGAGAGAGAGACTGGGGGTATAGTCCTTTACCAGGTTGAGCACATGCCCTCTCTCTATAGTTTGGTGAATGTTTTTAATCATCGGTTGGATGTTGAATTTTACCAAATGTTTTTCTCTGTTTATTGAGATGATTGTATGGTTCTGTTTTTTTTTAAAAAAATATTTTATTATTTTTTATTTTATGTGTATGAGTATATTGCCTGTACCCGTGTTGTGCAGTGCCTGTGGAGGCCAGAAGAAGGGATTGAATCCTCTGGAATAGGAGTTAACAACTGGAGATGGTTGTTAGCTGCCATATGGGTGCTGGCAACAGATCCTTGGTCCTCTGCAAGAACAGTCAGTGCTCTTAACCACTGAGCCATCTCTCTAGCCCTGATTCTTTTTAAAAATTCATTTGATATGGTATATTGCATTAGTTGGGTTTTATATATTGAAACCAGCTTTGCATTCTGTAGCTGAATTGAGGAAGCAACTCTAAAGTATATGTGTGTATGATTTCTGATTTCTTTGTTTAGTCTTAATCATCCAGTTGAAAAAGGGAATTTCAGGTGGACGAAACATAGAACTTTGAACAAAACCTTAGAGTTCTGAGAGCAGAGACCAAAGAAGTTGACAGAGACCAAATTGTGAAGGTGTTTTTATGCCGTAGTTAAGAAGTCTGGGTTTTATCCTACAAACCATAGGTCATAAGTTGTGAGAGAAAAGGAAAATTCAGTTTGATTTTAGAAAAGACGCCCTGGGGGCAGTGTGGAGGCCTCAGTGGAGAGGGTTCTTGAGGGAGAAGATTGTTGAATCCAAATGAGACACCACAAATGTCACTAGTTATTGCTCTTGAGATCATCAGTTAGCTTGCTTCTAAGTGCTAGAAGATGCAGCCTGAGTTGTCTGGCAGGAATGGGATTTATTGTGCTGTGGAAATGAAAAGATAGTATGAGAACTGGTTTCCAGGATGGTTTGATCCATAGATTGTGTGGTCAGGGCTCAGCTTTCTGCTATGCCCATTTCATTTCTGGGTTCCTGTTCACATCAGCTTTGTCTGTCCACTGTCTGATTTCTCAGGATAGGAATGATGGTTGTGAGGGTTCAAGGCATTGCATGCTCACTGCCACTGTCCCTACAACACAGGGGCCTTGTCTTCCTCCCTCATCCTCAACCTAACTCCATCCCCTTTTCCAGAGAACATAGCTTGCAGCACTCTGAGGAGAAGGGTATGCTAGGTGTGCTGATTTGCATACTTGGAGCTGAGAGTAGTTCCCAAGGGAAAATGGGGACTTGAGCAAGGAAGGCTGTCAGCATTGTGTTGGAGGGAAGAAAACATTTTCAGAGGAT